ATTTAATTTGTGAATTGTAAGAAACCTCAAGTATGTCAGAGGACATAGTGATATTGCTACAAAAGCGACTAGACAAATAGAGAGCTACATGTGATTTTATCGTATTTTTTTAATCCTTTCGCCTCGGCAATCCAGTCCGCCGAAGTACTGTCACTGAACGGAAACGCGCGCCAGAAATACGCACAGTGTGCGTGGCTACTGTATATACGTTTTCCTAAGTCTTAAATAATAATAATTCTTGTAAAAACCGTATACGAAATATCGTTTCACTGTCAATGGATTTAGTAGATTTTTTAGCATGAAACAATTTTTGATGTTTCAACAACGAGTAACTTAAAGAAGTGATTAATCCAATATGTCAATAAAATCAAGGGAAAATGTTCTGTCGATAACGAAAAAATATATTAATGACCACAGATAGCATTTGTATATGCATCATTTTTGTCAAATTTTGTCTTCAAAACACAACTTTGGACAATAGAAGAACTAGATATTAAGTTTTTAATGTTTTTAATATTCCTATTTTATCTACTTTTGCTAAAATACATTAAACACATTTCAATACTAAACTAAAGATCTTTAAACTTAAAAATGACTTTTGCTTATTCCCATGTCACAAACAATTGGCTTTAATAATTATCGATCAATACTCTCTTATTCATAAGCACATCAGCATATTCGATCCATGCAAATTCACGTAAAAAGTTACTACTTCCTGCCTTTCGTTATATGTATCTTAATAAATTGTATCTTATTAAATCTTAATAAATATGAGTCTTAATAAAAAGAAGTTACTTTTTACGTAGACCAAACCTAATTCTATTATTAAGCGCGTAAGCAGATAAGATGAAGATCAAATAGAGGCAAAGCTAAAAAATAACGACTATATATTTTCATATTTCAGCGTTGAAAACTTATGTGGGTGAAACGCTAGAATTGACTGGAGTTCTTCGACAGGAAATGGGCACTTGTCCTTGCATAGACGACAACAATGTGCCTCCGACAGTCAGCAAACGTTACTCTGTACAAGTTCACTGTATGTATTATTAAGCGCTTATCATAGAGGTATTATACAAATGTATTTGCAATTATCATTGTTATATATTATACAAGGTGAATCAGAACACGTGGAAAATATGGCAGAGGTTGATTCCGAATACTGAAATAACAAAAAAAGTTCATATAACATAATATGCCTAATATGACCTTACGTTCCGCTTATAGCTTATTTTGCGATGCTAAACATTACACAGATGAACGATTTCTTGCAAAATAGATAAATCGTGCTGGCCTTATTTCCGGATCAATACGCTCTTCGGATCCGAATCCGTTCGATTATTAAATACGGGGACGTGTAAAATCTCTTACTTATAAAACGTTAGTTGACGTGACGATCAAAATTTTCGACAAATCCTTGTACGCTGTTCGAACAAGTTGGACGATCTATGACGCGACGCATTCGCGTTTCCGTAGAAACTGGAACTGGTCGATTCGAGCAATTTCTCTAAAGATAGGTAAGAAAGTACTGTGACACAAAGCAAGCGTCTACTCGAAAACGTTTATACGAACTTTCCTTCTTATTTTAATGCGCTGAATCAGCTCCTGCTTGCCTGGAAGCCGTACTTTCCACATGTCTCGAACTCTATCATACCCATCCACTAGGTAAACAAAATAAAAACCTGCCAAGCACGAACGCCGTATAGATTGTTTTCACCTGTTCGATTCGTGCTAGATTTGACTAAAATACTCATGCGAAGTTATTGAAAATATAAAATCCGAATTAACATCCAGTTTTCAACAACCTGTCTAAAGATACCGCTCACAAACAAGCTATCATTTCTTGAAAGAAATATATAAGATTTATTTACGTTATCAATTTTGTCGTGTGTCGAAATATAGCCCATTCAAAACATTCTATGGACCAAACGAAAAAATTGTTGACATTGATTGTCAACAAGTCCTACAAACTAGGATCTTTCATATTTCTTTCGCTTTTGATAATTAGGCATAACCTCCCGCTAGCCGATGAGTCATTCTGCTATATTTGGCTTATCCTTTGTTATTATACAAATTACTGCCATTGTTCACGGCTGACCTACTAATTCGTTTGGTGACTAGACACTATGTTAGATATTTTAATCAAATAAACTTATAATTGATAAAATACTTCCTATCAGTACAATATATGATCTAAACTTTTCACATCCTGCTTCAAGGCGACATATCCAGTGAATTAACGGCGCCTGAACAATCCCTTAAAACGGGTAAATCTATAACTTTATTATCTAATTTCAACCTAATATCCAAAAACTGATCAACATAATTTCACTATGCCCAAAAAGCATCGCCTTACAAATGATATCGATATTTACGACATTTCTTTGCTATATTAATATAGTATTATTTGTTATAGATCCAGACCACCGACCTCGGCCAGGGCTATTAAAATTAGCCTTAGTCATGGCCAATAACCAATATAATATTAACTACGATAGAAACTGTCATTGTTAATTTAACACTAGCTATCGCCGCTATAATACGAATGGCCTGTATACACATTAAATAAACTATAATAAATAACTTATTATTTTTAAATACACCTTGTCTTATTTACACTTTCCTTTCTCTTACGACCTACGTCCACCTTGATCTACGCATTGTCACGTAAAATTCGTGATAAAAAAGGAGGAGCGGAGCAATAGCTTAACTTGACTATCCTTGAAATAAAGTAAAACCCGAGCGAGAACGTAAAATATTTATTGCGGGTAACCGCAACCGCCGCTTCGACCTTTTTGCAATCCACTAGCGATAAAATGTTCGCGTACAAGGTAAATAGCGGGCAAAAGAACGGTATAAAGCATAGAGTGTAGAGTATAGTAGCATCGCAGAAAAAGAAAAATCAACAGCTTGGTCGGTCATTGAGCAGCAACAGATCGAGCAACGATACAAATGATCATGGAAGTGCGTTTCTGCTTCCCGGTCTGTTCGAACTATGACGATTTGTCTTTCTGATCTTTCCGACTCGACCGTTGCACCGTTCACTCGACCGTCGCCATAAATTGTTTCGCATTTTCTAGAGAACGGACGCTTGAAACTACGTGCTTGCGGTACATTCGATAGCCAGGACAGAGGGATTATTCGTGAGCCTGTTTTCGTCTTGCGAGACGAGAAAATTATTAGAAATTCCCTGACGCAATTGTATGCGGTTTTATGTAACTTCGATTCTATGCGTGAACGATATTTAGAACAGAGCAGACGGATTAAAATTTGCGCACCAATAGGTTCCCACGTAGCTAAAATAAAGCAAAAGTGCGCGAAATTAACGGATGACAATTGACAAATTTCTTGGACGATCTACATTTATTACGGAATGGTTGGCTGCGAGAACCGATATCTAGTAGTATCTAAGTTGTCCGAGAGAGTTTCGCGATAATGGAGCAGATATCTCTGCCGATACTCTCTACTCGACTATCGTAGCAGATCTGCGTACTTTTGCAAGGTTCTCCAAATTAATACAAATTTCTAACTACCGTAACATCGAGATATTATACATCGGAAAGCAAAATTAAGGAGAGTGGCGATGACCACGGAGACGCAAAAAATATCTCAGAAGATAGAATTTTGATGGCGCGGGGAACAAATGCTCGTGATGGTTTTCCCAATAACGATTCTGATTCCCCCTTGACGTGTCTGCTCGGCGCCACTTCCAGCATCGTGACAACCACCATAAGCCCCAGGACGTCTTTACAGCCTCCTTTACATCGCATATGCCCTTCTCGCTGTTGATGAAAATCCTATTTGTGAAATTAGACGTTTGCTCGCTTCGAGACAAAGTAAATCGCGTTTCTCACAGATGTTCGGCAGATGGCGATGATGAGATATAGTGCAACAAAGTGAAATTTTGCGCGCGTAAATCTAACAGGATTATAATGTAATAGGAGCACAACAAAGAGGAAACTTGTGATGAAAAAGGAAGAATATATTGCCAAAGAAACTCTTTTTCTCCATTTTCTTTTGTAGAATTATATTTCACTTGCGAGTATTATAACAGGTCTGCCTTTGATACAAAAATCCTAAAAGGTTTACGTATCTGCACGTATATTTACGCTGTATGAACGACACTCGGGTATTACACGCATGCATTATCGACAAATAGATCCACGTTCGAGATAAGAGTTCCTCGTTGATACTTTCTTATGGTATAAATAACGAGAAATTATCAGGAAGTATGTTACAGTGAAACTACTCGTACTTCGTTACTTTTACTCGCATGTATAACACTTACAACGATATTCTTTATTGAATCAATAAATAAAAGCGCTCCCCAGCGTAGGTACAAGACTAGATCTTGAAATATAAGAATCGACGTAACAATAAGACTAGAAAAGTTGCAAATGAAAATAATTCGCCGAAACGGCAAAAAGAGAATACCTGACACAAAAATAACGATACGGTAAATCAGCGTCCCGTTTTAATTTTCATCGATCAGTCGTCCAGCAAGCGAGATGTGTCAAGCAGAGACGGCGACAAGGTAACAGAGACGAAATATTATCGAGTTAACGCGTGCGAAGTGGTCGCAGGAACGGCTGACGTGTGCGAGAGTGTAATGCACTTACGTCACGCGAATTTCAGACGAAACAACTGGAGGTGTAACGAAAATTTAGCGTCACAATCGGACGTTCTAAATATAAAGTGGATGGCTGTTGAGCGAGAGAAAAATGCTCGACGATGGCGCCGTTTGTTCTCTTACAAGATTGAACGTCCACGGTCGACCCATTTACCAGACCCTCCTTGTTACACGAAGAGACGAAATCACCAATGCTATTTAATCGTGCGAATTATATCACGCGTATCTCGCGAATTATTACACGATAGTGATAATAAGTCAAATCTAATAAAATTTACTTCTCATCAAAAAGTCGTACCAAAACAATTATTTATTAATTGGTTTATTTATTAATTCTTAAGAAGATACATATAAATAAGAAAAAATGGTAAAATTTGATTAGTATAACAAAAATAATATATGTCTATGATCATTCGAAAATATAAAAAGTGAAATAGTCTTACGTTCATTGGTATATTTTAAGAACACATACATATTTTAACGATAGTTGCAATGTAACATCATTTCTATATTACACGCAAGGTGTGGCAAGTATTCCTGCTCTAAGGCACAATTTGAAATCAACAACATTGAGTTTAACAAATTATATGTTTTATTCGTTTTCCATCATGGAATAACGCGGTGGTGTCTTCCATATTGCACTGGACATGCGTTGTAGTCTACTCCTATCTATATTTTCAAACATTTCAGTTAAATCTGGTGTGCACTTTCTTCTATCAAAGAATTTATAGACTGCTTTCTCCGGAATTTATCGTTGCACTGCAAGTTCATTTTCGCGTATGTACGCTAAAATTGATAAAAATTCGAGTACTCCATGCATTATAATGTTTATTAACTCATTAAGTGAAACAACACTTACATTGCGCCTAATGTGGAATTGTACGCCTTGGTCTGGCTTCATCGTCCGATGTGTCGTCGTCAGGTTTACTGTGCAAAACAGAAGTGGACCTTACTTGGAGCTATATTTTGGATAAAATATCGAATGAATAATAGCTTGTGTTTTTATAACAGAAGAATACTTTGATACTGTTTGTAATGTTACCTGCGATGTCATCATCTGAGTCTCCTTCTTTTGTTTCGCTAATAAGATTTTTTTTGCTTTTTTGACAGATCTTCGTGCCAGTTTTTGAACGACGGCTTTTTCTGAAATTTTTTCCTTTTCTAATGATCCGGTTTTATATAATAGCAAATTCGATGCATACGCATTTTTCTTCATTTCATTTTGAATGTCCTGTTTCGTCATGTTTTTATTAGACATTTCCCTTTCACGGGATGGCTCATCTTCTGCGAATAATTCTTCGAACTCCGTGAGTAGCATCGATTGATTCAGCTGCTGAACCTCCTCCTGCAGAGTTATTGGCGACCGTGATGTAAATTTAGGTTCATTATTTTTTCTTATACTACTAGCCAAGTTTTTATTAATTACTACCGTTTCGTTTGATTTTATTGGTGATAAAGGTTCTACAATTGCTGTAGCGTCCATCATCTTCTGCGTATAAGTAGAATTGATGTCCATCGTGGAATTCATAAGAGGAGTAAATTTCTCAAATGCATCCTCGCACATTGAAGGATCTTCAATATCATTTCTTGCTGATGCAATTACTGTATCATCAATAATATTAGAATATTTACCCTTCGTGTTTTCACTCCGTGAAAAAGTTCTCTTTATATTACTATCTCTTGTTGTCATTGAAGACTTTAATGGTTCAATCCTTTCTGGTTGTATTGCATCTTCTTTTGAAATTGTTTCGCTTAAAACATTCTTTTTTGTTTTACTATGTTTTGTAGGACCTTTTGTGTTTTTTTCATCTGAACTACTTCTAGCACTTTCCTTTTTTTTAGGTCGGTCTCCACGTTTCCTCTAAAAATTTAGAATATATTTAACAACGTTATAGTAGTATTTATATACACAATGTACATACAATTGTATAAGCAATTAGATTTTGACGTATTAATTAACCGATATCAAACATTATTGGGTACTACATATAAGAGTTAGTATTGATTAGTAACATAAGATATGGGGTAAGATTAAAAGTATTAAATTTCATCATAATATGACACAAACATTTACATTACTGTCATCATCAAGAGTTAGCCTTCGTAATTTTGTAACAAGTGACATTGACTGCTGCTTTTTGATATTAATTGCAGCTTTTTTTGCAGTCTTTCTTTTTGTTCGGCCAATTGTTGTTTCCAGCACATCCCCAGTTTTTACATCTTTATTTTCTGTTTTATCATGTACTGCTGAATCTGTTACTGTATTATCAGTATTGATAATATCATTTTCTGGGATAGTCTCTTTACGGCGATAATCTTTTTTCTTCAAAACTTTCGGCCTCTTTGTAGTTGAAGGGCCAGGGACTGATTGTGGTATTTCGGCAATTAAACCATGTAAATAATCCAGAGTGTCTTCAAGCTGGTTGTTAATATATTTTTTAATAGCCAAGGAATGATTATGTATATTCGATATATCTTTGGCAATCATTTCTTTAATCTTCTTCTTTGATCCAGTATCCATATTTAAAATCTACGAATGAATGATACGTATTTAATATATACATTAAACTGTATTTTTTAATAATACATACCATAATTTAATATTATGGTTGAAATTATGACGTATATAGCAATTAATACATACACATTGTGTTTAGTTCTATTAACGTAGAAGCACATGTAAATTAAAAAAAAATATATTTATATGAAACCATAATAAAATAATGAAGTAACGTTGAGAATAGAATCTAGTTTAATTACACATATACATCCTTTTAACAATTCCGTTCTTATAAATTTTATTAAATTTACAGTGAATTACAATTACACTAATGCCAATGAATATTAACGTATGCGTTTATTATTACACTAAATAAAAATGAAAGTAATGCAATGAAAAATACAATACACTTTAATGGAAATAAAATAAGTAAATAGCGAAGTATTTATTAATATTATTATATAGCATTATATTATATTATTATAATATTTATTAATATTTACTTACCTTTTACATTTGCACAAAAACTATAAAATTTTAAATATAAAGAGAGATTTATAACAGAGATAAAGCAAGTCACAGAAATTAGTGTCTTTCAATGGCAAAAATGCGTTAAAGGAAGTGAAACGATAATCTCCGTCTCGCGTCACAAGCGGAACTGTGCCAGTTTTGCTCCTTGAAAGTACACGTAGCGGTACATAAGCTAGAGAACATTTCAAATCATGTTGTTGTTTTTTTGCTTCGGAGTATCAAGATCGTTAGGACATACATAATATATTAATAAATAAACTCCGGGCAAAACAATGTCGCGGTTACGTTACCGTCGAACCGACGAACAAAGACGAATTTGAATTCTCCGACTCTCCCCCGACCTGTTTATACTATACCAGTTTAAATGGACGCAATCGTAAAGAGTTCACGAGAGTTATGGATCAGTATCTACGAGTATCTACCGTCTTTGCAAACATTATCTATAATTATTTATTTAATCATTTGAAAATATACTTGAAGGTTTCAACAACGAGCAATCTTGTCTAATAAATCTCACGATCAACCATCCTCTACACACAAATCCTCTAAAAACATAAGGACTTTTCAGTTCAATTTGAATCATTGCGTCCAACGCCATCTAATTTTCTCTATAATTTAAATCATATCCGATGTAATTTGATTAGTCGAACAATTTCTATAATTGTATCTTCACGTAAAATAATTTTCTGTTAGCGTCCGCGGTTCTAAAACTAACGATCAGGTATTGAGATATTTATACAATGGTGTACCAACTATAAAAACATTTCTCACAAAATCAACTTACAGTCATAGTAGGATTGTGAGGTACCAAAACGACGTTGAATTATTCTATATATATATTAACAATATATTAATATAAAAATTTAAATAATTTAAGAACTAAAAATATAAAAATTTATAAAATTTATGAGATAAAAAAACATATAAATACTATTCATATTTATATATATATATTATAAATAAAATATTTTTAAATAATATTATAAAACTAAAAAGATATAAAAAATTCAATAATAATTGATAAATATTTTTCAATATAATATATAAAATAATCAAAGTAAGTATGATAAACATAAATAACAATAAATTGTGTATATAAATATTCATATTTCACCTTAAGTTCATAAAATTTTTTCTTTCATTTTTTAATTAATTATTAAAAATTATTCAACTATTTATGTATATATATATTTTCAAAATATATTAACATATACAAATTTAAATAATTTAACAATTAAAAATATAACATATAAATTTATTTACAAAATTTTATATTTTATAAATAAGATTTTTAATAATAATAATATTTAATTACATTAACTTTATACAATATTAACCTTAATAAATTATATATATGTATATATAATATAATATTTAAAAAAATACATTAATACGATTATTTAAAATTAAACTTAAAAAACAAAATTTAAATTAATTAATTCTTAAAAATTTTTTAATTATAAGTAAATTT